AAGAAGACCCTACAGCTCCCAAAGCTCTCGATACCATGTTGAGAAAATAACAATTTTTTTTAATATGCATAATGCCACATTCATTTTCCATTTGTAAACCATATATATATAGGACAATACAAACTCTTTAGATCCTTCTAAATCAATGCTCTAGAAACTCTCTATATTCTGTTAATATTAATGATTAGCAAACTCTCTATATTCTAATATTAATGAATAACAAATATCAATACACTATCGGTAAATCAAATGTAATTATTTCATTATTTTTTTGAAAATTATGAGGATGTATGTTTATTCCATCCCCAAAACTAAATGTACTGTGTGAGTTTGCCCAAGAAAATGTACCGTGAAAGTCGAGCATAATGTTACATTTAGTCAAGGATGCCTTTTCTCAAAGCCATAACTCATTTGGGGATGTTCAAATGCGGGTAATATGAAAGTTAAATAAGTCCTAAAGTACCAATTATTTTATTAGTTTTGTGTTCTCTACTTGGCCATTTAAAAGGTTACTTTAAATCTCCTTAAAAACCCTAAGCTTTCAATTTTTAAAAATGTTTTTTGTTATGTTATCTCTTTTAGGAGATATAATTAATGAAAGTCTTCACTAATTAAAATCATGTGTCTAATAAAATATAGAATGGTAAAAGACTATGTATATATGATACAATCATATTAGATTGGAGTTTTTATGAGGTTTTAATTTTGAGTTCAAAAATCAACTTTGATCCTAAATAAGTATAAATATTTATATATTATTAAGTAGGTTTTAATAAAAATATAATATTTTTACTCAAATAATACCTTTTAAAAATGTTGCACAAAATTATTATATAATAATTTTATCAACTCGGTATATGATGCATACAAATCGGTGTTGTCTGAGAGCCTTCCACCAATATTACCACTACCATTCCAATCACTAATGTCATGTTTTTTTGATCTTATCTTTTGAATGATCGAGTGATAAAATTATTGATTAGACATCTATACAATCATTATTTTTGTTCGATAAATGAACGAATTGAACATATAAAAAATGAATCTATATGAATGATGATGTTGATAATGATAGATATAATAACCAAAATTAAAGTGATTGGATATGTATATTTTTATTGCGTATTCATCTAATATCATTTATTTTCAAAAAAATAAACATTTCACAAAAAAATCTATTTTAAAAAGAAATTAGAATAACACATGATTTTAAAATATATTAATCTGGAGTATAATGGTTGTCCCTTGTTCCCATATGTAATGGGGTAAGGGGAGGTAAGATAGTAGGCTGCCCCAACACCAGGTTGAGAGCAACTTCCGTAGAAGTCCTCCGAATTATGAAATGCCCTCCGGTGGACTCAATTTAATTTAATTTTTCTATTAATTTGAGGTAAGTATAAAATAGTATATGTTCAAGAACATTCTCAAATGTTTGACATTAAACATTTATATCCATGACATACTAAGAGTTCGAACCCGGGATTTCAAAGAATAAGAACAATTCATTTACTACCAATGTCGTTTGGTTCCGACAATGATCTTTTCAAACAAATTTTTTATGTCTTTTTTAAAAAATTGATTTTATAAGTGTTTGATTATTTTAAAAAAATTGAGATAACGCGTGATTTTAAAAATATAATTTTAATTATAGTTAGAGTGTTTTAATCTCTCTCACGTGTTACTAAATCAATTCAAACAAATTTTACGTAGATTTTGGTCTGATGCATGGACTGGTGACAGCCCTCTTAAAAACATTTTCCCTCGTATGTTTATGTTATCTTGTAATCAAGCCGGTGTCATTGCAGATTTTGGTTCTAAGAATGAGGGAGATGGTCTTGGAGGATTCGTTTACGTAGGAAACTATTTGATTGGGAGATAGTTCAATGGAACATCTTAATGAATGCCTTACAGGGTGTTGGATCCTCTAGCTTGAATAAAGACTGTATTTGTTGGACTGGTTAAGCGATGGGAAATATTCGGTAAGTTCTTTATGCAAAAAAGTGTTCCATTATCAGGAGGATCGAGGGGATTGGTCTAGACTAGTATGGAGAGGGTTGGCTGCTCCGAAAGTTGAAGTTTTCACATGGTTGGCGATTCAAAATCGCATTCCCATTAAAACTGATTTGATAAAGAGGGATATTTCTTCTTTGACGGACAATCTTTGCATTCTATGTGGTAAATTCCCAGAAGCAGTAGCACATCTTCTATTTTCCTGCCCTATAGTATGGAACAGTTGGATGAAATTGACATATTTTTTGTTTTCATTTTATTTTAGTATCCAGTGTTAAAAACTTAATGTGTTTAGTAGTTAAATTATTAATTTTGGTCCGTTTTAGTACATAAACTTTTAAAAAAAATCAAAATTTAGCGTTAAATTTTTAACATGGTACTAAAATGAAACAAAAACTAAAATTTTTAATGGAATGATACTAAAATGAAATAAAAACTAAACATTAGACATGGTTTTAAAAAAGTTAAATGTTTATGTACTAAAATGAACTAAAACTAATAGTTTAGGTACTAAACACGTAATTTACCTTTTTTTTTTTTGCTTTCACGTTTCTTCTTTTCCGTGCTCGTTGCCGCGTTCAGCGACTATCCCAAGGGTAGGAAATATTCTCAATAATACGCTGCCACGTACTGTTTGTTACGTAGAAAGCGTGCCACGTTGTTGGACGGTGATAGTGGTGCTTTCTTTTCCTTTTAGATGAGGATTAACAGTGGGAAAATTCTTGTCAAGAAAGAATGTCGATGAGTCAATGCGGTGTCGTATGATGGGCTTTGAATTTTTATATTGCTTTATAAAATTAAAGCGTAAAGTACACAAATGGTCTCCATCTATAAGGTATTATTTTATTAAATCTTTCAATTATTAAAAGTTACAAAATGATCATTCAATTATAAAATATTTCTTTGTTAAGTCAACTATTAAAAATTACAAAATGGTCACTCGACTATTTATTATGTTCCAAACTCATCATTTTCCGTTAAAAAATTAGTAGTTGTCTAACATGATCATTGAGATATGATAGTTATTTGAGATTTTATAATCATATTTTATCATATCACAGTCTGGTTAACGTTTAACTCAAAATATCGTCAATTTTTTTTAATGAAAATGACGAGTTTGGAACATAATGAATAGTCGGGTGACCATTTTGAAACTTTTAATAGTCACTGGACTCAACAAAGCAACACCCTATAATCATAGGACCATTTTATATCTTTTAATAGTTGAGGGACTTAATAAGTAGTATCATATAGTTAAGTGACTATTTTTGTACTTTACTCATAATTAAATTAGTTTTATTAATGATTTAAACTTTACTGTTTCAGGTAATTTTTTGAATAATATGATGAAAAAAATCATCAAAGATTTTGGGTGAATTATTTTTTTTTTATCTAATGTGGTTGACTGGTTGTTACAATATTCGTTGTAAGATGGTCAGACGATATAATATCTTTGAGAAGATGCACGAACGATAAGGCGTCTTTGACAAGACTGTAGAGTTACAAGTTTTCATGTATGGATGTAATTAAAAAAAGACATTATATCTTCTGAACATCTTCTAGAAGATTTGTGTCGTTCGAGTGTCCTCCAATGGGTATTGTAACAACTACACTAATTGAAAAAATAATTTTCTTCACATCCTGCGTGAATTTTTTTATATCACAATATTTGAATGATTTTACACTTTATTTCACTTATAAATTGAATAACATTTTTAAAATATTTTTTAAATAGTTTGTTAATAATTTTCTTAACATATGAGAACTCACAAGCACCATATAGATGTAAGTGCTCGTATTTAAAATCTATTTTAAAAAATAACATTCTTTTTTATTATTGAGATCACTCAATAAATTCTATTTTTAAATAAATTTAAATTCAAACTCATTAAATCTAATAGTATCATTGATTAAAGAAAATGTTATAATTCCTAAAAGTTTTGAGTTCAAAGTGTTGTATCTGCCCTCTATACTTTACCAATTATTAAGTTATATTATCTTTGAATCACCCTAAATTATTTAAAAAAAGTAAATATATATTTATATTTTTGTGTATATTACTATCAACTAAAATATGATTGAAAAAAATAGTAGGAAAGAAAATGCATGGTTATCTCCACAAATTAGTTGACCCTATTCCAATATGTAATGGGGTGAGGGGGAGGTAAGGTAGTAGTTGCCCCCAACGACAGGTTGAGAGTAGCTTCTGTAGAAGACCTCCGACAGTCAAAATTATGAATTGCCCACCGTGAGACTCGATCCCACGACCACAAGGTTAGGAGTCTTGCGCTCTACCAACTCAGCTGGAAATCACCTTTGCATGCTTTGCATAGGGGAGTAAAATTCCACTCGATTTGAAAAATTAATTTTTTTCGACTCGACTCGAAATAATCGAGTTGTAATTTCATAAACTCGACTCGACTCGAAAAAAAATTTAAGTTCAAATCTAGTTGTAAAATACAACTCAAATAACTCGAAATTTTTAATAATTAGTGAATGAATTTTCAAGTTTCAGCCGAGTCGTTCAATTCTATATGATATATGTATGTCACATATGAAAGAAATATATATGTATTGTATTTTTTTATAAAAAAAATTACACAAGAATGGATTGTAATATATATGTATTGTATATGATCATAAAAAACCCATTTAAATTGAAATAAAATAATACCATAATATTATAAATATTTATAATTAAATTTAAATAGGAACTCAAAAATTCGACTCGACTCAAAAAGATTTAAGTCAACTCCGAGTTGTAAAATAAGACTCGTTAACTCGAAAAAAATTTTATTCGACTCGATTGAATGCTCACCTTTACTCATACAAGAGATTGCATAAATCATTGCATGAGAATAAATGTTATAAATCAAAATATCAAAGAAAAAATAAAATTAATATATAATAGCATTGATTAAAATTATATTTTTTAAAATGAATTTAGCCCCACAATATTACCGAAAACTATTACCATCAAAAACCATAAATCAAGCCAAATGCTACTATTCATTTCCACCCAATAAATTTCGGCAATTAAAATCGGAAATATAGTATGTATATGTAATGGGATAAAACTATGGCAATGCTTTTGCAATTTGCATTCACATATTATTTGAATTTTCCAGCGATGATTGTTCTTCCTTCGTCGCACTCTGGGAAAATGAGATGGGAACCAAGCAAAGTCCTCTACTTCTTAGATCTTGCTGCTTCTTTCCAATTTCCTGCTGAATAAATGCAATTTTGTAAAATAAGATTTAAATTATACATCATTACAATGAAAAATAAAACCCAAAAGATATGTTGAATTATGGTTTTGCCTCTACTACTTTTATAATGTCATTACTTAGTCCAAATAAATAATTTATATAGTACTTAAAGGATAAATTCAGATAAGCAATTTAAATATTTGACAGTGTTTAAGAATATGACTTAATTTATACAATGTTGAAATAATTTACCTGTGGATGAATAGCTCTGGGACTCTTGTATGAACTGCTCAGCATCTGAGAGAAATTCAACAGGGGACTGTAAAAAAGACAAAGAGTAAACAAAACAAACAAAAATCAATTGATATACCTGAATTTGTTCTTGGAGAAGTTTGATATAAATAGAAGCCTCTTGAAGAACTGAAGCCGTATCTGTCTGCAGTAATTTATCAAACCAGACCCACGTAAAATATATAGTTGAATAAATATGCTCTTTCTAACGTTAATTTATGTATGTATCATTTGAAGTAGTTAAAATGGAAGGTTACTTTTCCATAGGGGGAAACCAACTTTTGAAGAGTTGTGATTTTGTCACTTAGCTTCTGGCTTCTCCTTACAGGCATATCCAACTAAAAACACGCACAGACAAAAAGAAAAAAGAATTTATTAATTGTTTATTGTTTTTAATTAGAAACTGCAAATTCCCATACCCTGAAATCTTTGATTTCTGCTAATTCCTCAATGGTTTGATGAGATAGTTGTTGTTCAAAGGAGGATAACTTCTTTCTCTTCTTCTTGTTCCTCTCATCCACTCCATTAATCGGGTCATCGTTAATCTCATGTTTCCTTCCATTTTGAAAGTTGTGTGTGTTTCCCTGGTAAAGATGAAATCAATAGTTTTATTTATTTGACCTAAATTCTGATATACATATAAGAAAATAACATCTTTTAAACATATTAAATTTTACTTATGTTCGGTCCAACCTAAAATATGAAGTTTAAGATTTGTTAAATCTATATGGCAGCGTACCGATTCAAAATGTGGAATCGCTAGCTTGCTGCCAAGTGACATTGGTTGCTGGAAATTGTGGTCAAAATTGGAGCTGCCATACTGATAATCTAACACCAAGCAAAGCATTTGGGTTAGAAAATTTCTAAAAGTGGTACAAATGTGATAAAGACATGAACCAAACCTGGCAAGAAATTAGAGTTGAAATGGGATTGGTAAGGAATACCAAAGGCCCCATCTCTTATTTGGTTGTCATTGTTCAAGATTTTGGGTTCCATACAAAATGCTTCTCCCTCCACGTTCCTGCAAAAAGAAAAAAAAGTGGAAAAAGAACCATCAAAATTAGGGTTTTTCTTCAATACACATAAAAGTTATTGACCTGCAAGAAAAAAGTATATAACTTTAGTTTTGTATAACTTGACCTACCATACTTTTATATTCTTTTTGGCAATTAAAGATAGCCATTCATGATTCATCAATGAACTCCCCGACAAAAGAAAAGGTATCTTTCAAGTACTCTTTTTAATGGTTAATTGAATTTTGAGCTAAATTCAGGACACAAGAAAGCATATATAAATATATGGGGCAATTTTCAAATCAAGTTTGCAAGTATTTGGTTCAACTTTATTGAAGAGTTTGTTAGAATTGGACAATTAATGTAACGTATATAAATGATTCCTTTTGATAAAATATTTTTTTGACATACTTTTGATAAAATATTTGTATTAGATATATTTGTTTCCGATACATATTCGTATCCAAAACTAGCTCTCGACAGGGGCGGACCTCCATGGTGCCCGGGATATCCCAGGCAACCCTCCACAAGTGCCACCCATCAAAAGTGCCACCCATGAAGCTCTTGCAACCCCTGAATTTTTGTCATGGATCCGCCCCTGACTCTCGAGTTTTAATAACATATATAGAGGTTTTGTATTATGCAGAATATATTATTAATACAACTGATATTCTTAGTTAGGACAGAACATATACCCTTTGCTTTCCATCTGCAAAAGGACATCCAAATAAGGCATCTGAACTTCATTGTTTCCTGCAACCAAAAAAACCCAGAAAAGTTAACAATCGTATACATATACGTACACATATACACATAGGGTTTAGATTTTAGAATAATGATTCTTACCAAAGTTGTACGAGTGTGATGAAAATGGCGAAAGATGAGCTTTCTTCATGATCTTCACTCGGATTTCTTTCACAAACCCAAAAGACCAGAAGCTGGAAACTCAAAAGCCTTACCCCCAAAGCCTTCGAATTGCAGAAGCCTGTACTTCGACTCAGTGAGTCAACTCCATTGAGAACATCTCATAAATTCACAGACATAATATATATACATGTATCAGCATGATCTTTTACGAAGAACACTTTAAATTAAACCAACAAAAAGCTCATAAAATTACTGAAAAAAGAAAGAAAGAACACCAGAAACATGAGATTACAGAATCTCTGACCTCTGATCTGAGGCTGCCGGCGGGCAAATGAAAAAAAGGGTTAAACCCTTGTGTTGATTTTAGCAAATTGTGAAAGGGGATTGATTTAAATCAAAGCTATATAGTAAGATTTTCTCAATGGGGTTTTCTAATTCTATTGAGTGTAGGAACTATTCATTTCCTTTCATAGAGACGAGTGAGGTTGCAGCGTATTTATTGCATGCAAATTATATGAAACGTCTGAGCTGACTCATCAAAACCCCTTATTTTTTTTACATATTTACAGTAATAGGTGGCCTTTTCTATATGACTTTCGCTTTCACGTAAGATTTTGACTTGTTTTAATAATCACAATTTAATTATCATAATCATGACCGAAACATTTAAAAAACTGTTACAAGTCAAAGCTCTTAAAGTTTGTGGGAGCAGTTCTAGCCATGGACTCAAAGTTAGCTATAAAATAATCAAAACTATCTGCTATTTTAACTTATTATTTACTGAACATCAAATATAAATCATAAAAACATAAAATTTGAGTGAAAATTATGATTTTCAATTAATAATGCAAAGAAAAAAGTAGTTGTTTGAAGCGGTATATATAATTCAAAAGGAATGATTTTAAAAAAGGGTGTAAAACCCATAAAGGAAACTGCTTTAACTCTTTATCATTTGCTTAAAATGGAGGAATAATATATTTTGGACATCATAATTTATTTCATATATAGTTTTGTTTTGCTTTAATTGGGAACCTATTAATTGATTAATATTTAATACCATATGTATGGCTCTAAATAATTACATACTCAATGTGTATTATATTGTGACATAATAAAATAATAAGAAGAAAAGAAAAAAATTAATGATTATAATTTAATTAAATTTAACTGGTATTTTAATATCTGGAAAGGTTTGGAAAGAGATTGATAACTGTGATTTTGTCAAAATAATTTTATAATTTTGTTCGAATAGTATACAGCATTTGACCAAGTAAGACTCGAAAGTCAACAAATGAGTTTTCTCTCTGTCTTCAGTGTAAATGTCTTTTTAACGTACGATGAAAACACTTAACAATTAACACGTGTCAACAAATCATGGCAAGAACATATATATATTTATACCAATTATTAACCAAAATGGCTAAGTTGTTGGATTTCATGCATGTATACATATAATTAATTAATTAAGATTTACTTATTGGATGAGATGCAAAATATATAAATCAACTGTTATAAAAATTTCAAGGTCAATGAAGATTGTCACTTAGGTATTGTATTTTCTCCGGTAAGTTGATTTTCTTTTAAATAATATTGTACATTCAACCAGTGAAATAAATTTTCTCTTCGTAAATTACTTAAATTAGTCACTCAGTTATTAATATTTTGTTCATTAAATTAATTTTATTTGTTCATTTTAATATTATATTATTAAATAATTCATAAAACTATTGATGTGATAGTTTTAAATTAATATAATAATTTTTTTTGAATATTTATATATTTTATTAATTAATATAATAAATTTAATCTTTTAAATTTATTAATTATATAGTTTGATTTCAAAAACTCTTTCACCGTCCATATAATGAATCGATGATTTGTAAGCATATGTTGTTTTATTTGAAAGAATCAAATGATGTGCAGGCCAAGGTACTTGATTTTTCATTAACTCGCCGATATTTTTACCGTTTCGAAAAGAGCTCGAATATTTACTCTTTACTATTTTAACTGTTGGGTTAAATTAATTGTTACATTACGTCCGGTTCAACAATTTGATACAATTAGGAGTAACCAGATTAACTCATTAACAATAATCTTTAATTGGTAAAATTGTTATATTTTATAAATTATTAAATCAGATTATTAAAATTAAAGGTAAATTACGCGTTTAGTACTTAAATTATCAGTTTGGATCCATTTTAGTATCTAAACTTACATTTTCTTTCAAAATTGTATTTAAAGTTTATTTTTTGTTTCATTTTAGTACCCTTGTTCAAAATTTAACATTCAACTTTGAAAATATTGAAATTTTAGGTACTAAAACATACCAAAATTGATAGTTTAGGTACTAAACGCGTTAAGTTTTTAATGGAGGGTACTAAAATTAAACAAAACTAAACGTCGGGTATGATTTTGGAAAAAAAATGAAAGTTTAAGTACTAAACAAACCAAAACCAATAGTTTAGATATTAAATGCATAGTTTACCCTAAGATTATACAATTTTAGTTAAATAAACCGTTAAAAGTGAAGATCAAGTTACAACTACAAATACGATTTTTGATAAACAATTAACAATCAGTTAACCATTATTAAATTATAAATATATTTTTAAGAAAAAATAAATAAAAAACAGTAGAACCTCTAAAAATTAATACTCGTTAAATTAATAACTTCTCTATAATAATATTTTTTTGGTCCCGACTTACGCCGAAAGTCTAATTAGTAATTTTGATAAATTAATAAGATAACAGTTTTTCGGAAGACCCTTATATAAATTTATGGTCCTTTCAATATTACAAATTAATAAGTCTATTAAATTACAAATATAACTATGACATTTTCTTAATTAGCCGAAAGATGCTTAAATAATCGTTTGAGTGTGTTCGATATTATACCTTAACTAACTTTCAAATAAAAATTTTCATTAATCCACTGTTACAAATCTTTTTGAGTGTACGTAGAGTGATTTCTCTTATACTCGCATAGTACTTTACGTATTTAATATGCCATGGTTGATTTGATTTGGACACACCAGCAACTTCTCAAAACGTCAAAAAAGAAGCTAAAAACTAAAGCAGTACAAAACTAAAATAAAAATAAATAAAGAAGTTCTCATCCTTACCTTCTAACTAAAAGAAATCTTCTCTTCAAGCTTGATCGAATCTCCTGCATGTTGAAATTCCGACCTATATGCCAACTTCAGTGGGTCTAACCACCGCATGCCCTCCTCCATCTGTCCAAGGACCCTCGTCGGAGCATCCTCCATCTAAAAATGGTCTCCTTCATCCAACGATGTCTCCGTCGCAAGCAGATGCGTCGCCTGATTATTAAGACGATGTGCGAATTGAAACTCAGCTTCTTCGAAAGTTAAAGTCCTTTGCCTGGTTTCCCACGTAAGAACACTAATCTTTGACCGGTCAATACCGTCTGGTTATTTAATTGGTCACATTGTATATGATCATCATTCAGTTAGTTAATGCAATGTATATGTTTTGTTCATAAAGAATAATACAAGTTTGTTGAATTAATTTTTTTTAATAAATTATTAATTTATTGATTAATTAACACCTCTTTAAATTAATAAAATTACATGATCCTAACATTACTAATTTATAGAGATTTTTATTGTATAATGATTTGATTTTTACTCTTTAGTGTTGTCCACTCTTCTATTCTAATTGTAGACACTCATTTTTGTCCGATTTTAAATTATTAATAATAATAATAATTATTATTATTATTTACTAACACTAATTTTATTATTATTTTTAGGTTACAACCAGCCTACCCAAGGCCCAAATAACAAAGAATTCGGGCCCAATAGTAGACCCAAGCAAGAGGCCCAAATTCGGATCCAAACTACATCAGACTTGGTTAAGGCCCAGCACCCAACCCAACTTGACAACCCAACACAGCTAGGGTTTCTTTTCATTCTGCCTAGCGCCGCACGAACGAGAGTCGCTAGATCTGGGGATGATCTAATGGCATAGATTGACTCGGATTTAGGGTTATTGAGACCCTTTTCTACGCAACCACTCCTAGCCATCAGATCTGCTTAGATCCAACGGCTGGATGCAACCTAATATTAGAGATTTCACCCTAATCCTACAACCAACCGTCGCCGCCAGTGGATCTGGATCGTCCGATTGGTGTGTGAGATGCACACGCTCATCCTCTAGCTTCCCGTCGTGTGAGCCGCCACCGATGAATCCCTCCGCCACTTCTATCATCAACAATGACAAAAAACTGCACCAAATCAGTAAAAAATCAAGTAAATCAGTTTAAAACCCCCATAAAAAATATGAACAAATCCAAGTGAAATCCTAAAGAAAATTAGGGTTGTCAATCAAGCTAAAATAGGGCACTCAAACCCTATCTTCTCGATAGCAACAAAGCCATAATCAACTCTCAAATGCAAGATAAAAAGAAAAAGTGGAACAAAGAGAAGGGAGAGATATCTAAAAACAGAGAGAATTGAAGAACAAAAAAAAGGGGATTCAGACTGGAAAAAAGGGAGAGAACTTCGAACAAAGAAAAAGAAGATAATCAAAAGGAAAAACCTACCTTTTAGGGAGATTTAACTGTTGATAGCTTCACCAGAACCAAAAAACCACCACTAGAGGTAAACCTTTTCCTTTTCCCTTAGATTTTTGATTTCTAGGGTTTCGAATAGGGGTTGGTTTTGGGTTTTGGGTGTTTGAAAGGTTATTAAAGAAATAAGAGGAGATTTTGGGGCTTGGTTTTCTCCCCGAAACCATCGATCTACAGTGGCCAGAGGGTTTCGACAGTTTATCTCGGTAGGAGAGGGGAGTTTGGATTCACTCCAAAACAGAAAGAGAGGAAGAGATAAAAATAAGGGATGACCGTTTTTTTTGTTGTGTTTGAAACATATATATCATCTGCAAAACGACTTAGTTTCGATAGGGGTGGGTTTGCATTTTAGCGCATGGGATAATCACGATTTAGGTCCCTCTGTCTTTATAGTCTCATCTTTCGGCCATTGAATGAAGTATTATGTTATTTTGGTTTCGAGTACTTACCTTTTAATGTTTGTATTTAAGTAACCATCATATATGTTATGCCATTTCTTTAATGTTTGACTCTGGTCATAATATTTGTAAATCTTTTATTTCAGTCATCACTTTGTATATTGTTGCTTTTAGGTATAATTATTATTCACCCTTGCAAATTTCGGGTTCGTTTTATTTTTGGTCCTTTGCACTTACAAATATTTTAAATTGTTTAACTCATGCTTCGTGCTTGGTTATGTATGCATTTTAGTCACTGATTTTGACTTGGTGTTAATTTTTATTTTATTTCCAATTTAGTCCTTATTGTTTTAAATATATTGAGTTTTAACTCCTGTATTTATTACATAATAGGACATGTAATTGTTATTTCATTCTATTTTGGTACTTGTTGCTGCTATATATGAAATTTGATATATTTTTG